TATTCAAAGATAGTTTATTAAGAGCAAGCCAAATTCCCACTATTTTTAGATAACTGTTCATATTAGTTTCAGCTTCTTTCCAATTCTTACCTTTTGCTATGATTGCTGTATCGTCTGCAAAAGATAGTATGGATTTTTCTGGTAGTATCGTTAGTAGATCATTTATGTATAGTAGGAAAAGTAGCGGACCCAGTATAGTTCCTTGTGGAACACCCATTTTTACTATTTGTTTATCGCTACTTGCATTATTTACCTTCACACATTGTTTTCTATTTGTTAGATAGCTTTTGATAAGGTTATAGGCACTACCCCTAATACCATAGTTGTATAATTTTTGTAACAGTATCTTGTGGTCAACTGTGTCGAAGGCTTTGGCAAGATCCAGAAAAGTTATTGCTATAGGTTTACTTGCATCTAATTGTTCATAAATGTTGTTTGAAATATAATTTAGTGCATGTTTTGTGCTTCTGTTTTTTCGAAAGCCAAATTGATTTGTGGAAAGTAAATTACAGTTGTCAATGAAAGATTGAATTCTTCTATGTATTATTTTTTCAAAGATTTTAGCTATGTTGGAGATTAGAGAAATAGGTCTGTAGTTATTTGCTAAATGTTTTTCTTTTGATTTGTGGATTGCTATAATATCCGCTTCTTTTAAAGCATCAGGCCAAGTTGTTGACTACCAGTGTGATTACCGCCGCATTTGTAACACGTGGCTTCATTTTTACATTTGCTCCCACTATGTCCAAACCTAGCACAGTTATAACAAGGGCTTGTATTTATAATGTCATAGACTTTGCAGTTTTGGCAACCAACAAAAAGTCTGCTTTTATTCTCTCTAATGTGTTTGTACAAATTAGCTGATACCTTCATTATAACTGTCATAGTTTGCAATTTCTCATTAGTGTATGTGTGTATTACTTTACCTTTGTCATCATAATTGTGGAAATTTCTTTGGTTTATATCTGACTCAATGTCTCGCATATTTTGTGTGAAAGATTTGCTGATGCCAGTAACTTTAACTGTTGGTTTCCTAATTTGCTCTTTTTCAATTTTAGCAAACGTGTGTATTTTTTTGTGTAATGTTTTTTCTATAGTGTTAATACTCTCTTCATTCATGCAGTTAATTATGACAGTATCGTTATTTACTGTTTTAATTTTTTTTGTTTGTATTGTTTTATCTTTGATAAGATAATGAGCTACGGTATTTTCTAAATTAGTGGTATCATTTTTATTTGTTCGTTTGATAATAAGTCTTGGTACCTTTTTTGGCTTAGGCTTTGGTAAACTCAATGTTTCTGCATATGAATTTTTAAATATGTTATTTGGTTTATTTTTCTTTTCTTTTGCTAATAACTCATTCCTATTTTGCTTTTCTTTGATGAGTAATTCATTTAGTAATTCATTTTTTTCCTTTGTTTCTTTGTAGAGTTCTTTCAATAAATTATTTTCAGCTTTTAGTTGTTGTATTTCATCTAATTCACTTACTTGTGTTAAATCCATATGTTCATCGTTTTCATTCATTATTTGTTTCTCATGCACGAGCTCATTTAGTATTTCTTGTTTTATTTCCTCTCTGCTTACAAGTTTAAATTGTGTTATGAAAGCACTAGCTTGTTCACTTAAGTCCTATAAGTAATATAAAAAAACATTTATTTATTTTAATCTTCACCAGCTGGAATTGCATCTTCTAATCGCTTTATAAACTTTCTATATTATTGAAGGTTATGATACGTTTATTCCGGGAGTAAGTGTGTTCGTTTGGGCCATGCGAGGAATAGTAGTACTTTTCTGTTGTTGGCACTATCAAAAGTTTTAGCGATTTTTACGCGTTCGTACGCGGTTGTACGCACGCGTATGTGCATATGTGGCGAGGGCATGGAGACTATATATATAGTCTCCATGGGCGAGGGCCTTAGATACGTTGCTAACCTGCTCTCGTTTTAGTCTCGCATCCGTGGTAAATCGCTTACGCGTTGACCGAAAAGAGACAGTCGCGTTTGAGTAACTCTTGTCAATTCGCGACCGTTGCGTGAGACGTAACAGTTTGATCATAAATTGATGTTTGCCTCGGGAAGTACTGATTATTTATTTTCAATTATAATTCGATATGTAGCCTAGTAGTAAGAGCAAAAGTCCAAAGAAAGAGGTATTTTAATAAATATAGTTTATATTCTCATACTATTTTTTAAAGAATTAAGAAAAATGTAGACATGTCATAAATTGTCAAATCCTAATTAGTTTATTCTTATTTGATCTCTGTAAGTCCATAGGTCATATGGTAAATTAAGTAAATTATAATTCTTGCTTGAAACATTTTAAATTCTTTATTATAGTTAGACAATGTCTAAAGCGTAACGCTGAATTAAAAGTTCTAGAGCAAATTGAACAGAATATAAAAAGTTAACTTTGTTATTGTTATCGTCAACAGTATATTTTGACACTTCAGCATTTGATTCAGATCTGTAATATCTAAATTAAAAAAGAATTAAAAACAATAAATATCAATCTATGAAATTTTAATAATTAAACACACTTTGACACTGTTTCACAATTACTTTCAACATTTTCAGCGTTAGACTGTGTTTGGACCGAAGTCATTCTTTACATTCTATTCAATTTGCCCTGGAAATTTCAATTCGGTATTACGCTCTATAATAATTATACTTATTCAGATTTCATTGTTTGTTAAAATTTTTTGAGTTGATAATTTCGATTTGAAGATTTTTTTATTTAAGTTATTTTATAACTTTATTAGTAGTAATTTAACATTTAAATTTAGAATTTAAATTATCACCATATTTTTTTAACTTTAATAAATGCAATTATAGGTATATAGCTAGGATAATTAGCACAATTCGAGCATTACCTCTTATTATTTTAAACAACTTTCTATGCTTTGCGCGCCAAAGCAAATTTGTTACGGTCTCTTTTTTATAAGTGTCGAATAAGGCAGTGTACTTATTCCCACGGGCGCTACACTTATACACACACACACACACACACGCACGAACACGCAGATATTGTACGAACCAAAACAAAGCTAATTTGCATACGCTGTCGGCTCAGATTAAGGCAATGTTTTGCCTAGGAGCGCGATTGTGTACGAATAATCGCGAAAACTCATGACCATATATGACACGTGACGTCACTGGCAGCCCGATCTATTGTTTATCAGACGACATTTTTAATTATTAACGCTTGGAATGAACAAATTCACTTTTTAAGTCAATTTGGTCACGAGGATTCCAAAGATCGACTCGAAAAAGGCGTGCTATTTCAAATAATCGCTTAAATTTCATGTACTACAAAAAACCATTAATAATTTTGCAATAATTATAAGAAACAATTATTGAAACACATATATGCAAAGAATCGGATAACGTGAATCTAAGCAAGAATTCCACGTATCGATAACAAATTAACTAACGATGTTGTCGATAAATAAAGAAATTATAATTTATTAAAACAATTAAAATTGCGTAGCAAGGCAGCAAATGATCTGAACTTGAGTGAAAGGGCAAAATTGTTAAAAGTTGTTACAAGTCATTCATTGATTTTATATTGGCAAAAGAACAATTAAAGGATTATTTAAAATCATTGTCATTTAAACTCCATAAATTTAAATAACAAATTTGAGGTAAATAATAACTGTATACATCATGAGCTGTCGTTCCGTATAAAAATCTCTTTCAATTTCATTGTAGATTTTAGAGTAGACGATCATTAAATTTTGATTGCTCATAACTGGCGATTGCGATTTTTCCTCCGATTTTAATTCATATAATATAATTCTATATTTAAAATCTGATTTTTTGAAGCAACAAATTTTCAATTCGAATGAGCCGTTCTGCAACAAAGCTCGATCGAAGTTTGTATTCGCATGCGAAAAGAGCGTTATAGGGGCTACTTAGCGTAAAATAGGACCTCTACCGCGAATATAAAAGCGCTCATCACCGGAGCATCGAGGAGTTTTGACTCCGCATGCCCAGCAGCGTGAGCACTGTTCTTAGCTGAATAAATCGTAAAATAAATTTCTCTGAGTCAGTGGTTAGCCCTGCTACTTCCACATCCTATCCCTGGCCTAGAGCTCAACTCATAGGACGACTTACTCCGATGAGAAAAAGCAGCCTAGACAAATCATTTTCATAGAACTCATTACCTTTCCAGTCTGCGGGACCTCCAAAGTCTTAGTCACAACGCTGTTCGGCTTTGCCCAAATAGATGCGACTTGATCTAGTGAGGTACCACGAGGCACCTCGTGGGCTTAAGCGTCGTCTATACGACTCAGTTTATTCCCACATTGAGGAATAGAGGCTGCGAGTCAATGCTCCAATTATTTTTGCCTACCATGAGGTTATTATTTAAATTCATAATTTTAGAAGCAGGCGTCAGTGGGATTCTCGCTTAGATTTGCAAAACTATGACGTTACAAATCACTCGGGTCCGATCCTTATATTTTTATTGTAATCAAACGGTACAATTATATATATAGCTAAAATACAAGAAAAACCGAACATATTTTTATTATTGGGTAAATTGATCCTATGTACATATTTAGTAACGCTTATAGTAATAGATCCATATCTTTTATATTGTATATTCGCTTGTATATCTTCTTGTACGAGATTTGATATAGCAAAAGAGGATGGGATTCCTACCGAAAAAGACTACAGGTGATGTGCAGAATGTATGGTAGTATAACTACAGTATTAATGTTTTTTTTTATTTCCACGTGAATTTAGAAACATTCATTGCGATTAAAATCAAACGCGAATTTCCATGACGGTAATTGAAAACGAACAAGTAAATATTGATCAACGACTAGAAGAACTTGTTATATAGTCCATCAAATGAATATTAGTGATACGTGATATTCGTAAAAATATTCTATGCCAAAGGTGGTAGAATATTTTTTAACGAAATGAATTAAGCTAATCAAATACATGAGATTATTGGATATTCGGTATCCCAGAAAAAGTTTCATTTTATTTCGCTGGCTATTATAATCTATCGGTTGAGTTCAATATTGCTGATCGTATAAAGTCTGAATAACTCGTCACGTCGATAAAGAGTTCTGCATAGTGTTTTAAGCAATCCGTAACCTCCTTAAAACCAATATAAATTCCGATGAGATGCATTTTATTTACAGTGGCTGGACTTCCGATGTCACTCTGCAAAAAGACAGAAAAATTCAAATATTTGATGGAATTAGGTTGGAAATTTAAATATTTGATTGAGGTAAGTTAGAAATTTGATTGAATGTATATAAAATCAAATTTCAATCAAATATGAGCATGTGGGTGCGTGCGGTCGCGCAGGTGGGTATCATACCATGCAAGATTTGTATCCAAGTGCCGGAATCGCGCAAAACTTTCCAGAAAGGTCGACATCCGGAAATAACTTTTTGCACCTTGTCATACTAAGAATTTCCATATAAAATTTGTGCTGATCGTAATCGATGAAAGCATTTTTTACAGTGATTTGACCATATCCAGAAACGAATAATTCGAGACCTTCGTGAGACTTTGCTCTTTCCTCCGATAATGGAATAGCAACTTCGTATGCATCGAAGCCATATAAATTTTTTTTAAGCTGAAACGAGGTAAATGTTATTGTCTTTGAACTAATAGGCTTAACAAAAATACTGATTTATTCTTGATCGGTGGGATGATAGCAATATCGCAACTTTGAAAAATAATGAAGATATTGCACATTAACTTTACCCGTATGAGTGCTATGTTATGCTGATAAAAATTGTTGCCATCGTACGAAGGATGTAAAATAATTTTCTCCACATCGTAAGATCTTCCATGATTCAATGTGCGTGATACAGAAAATACCTTCAATTTAGTTTTGTACTCCGCATTTGGGACGGATTGGATCAGGCAATTAGCTGTAGTAAGGATGTATCTATTATGGATTACAGTACCGCTACATTCATATTTTCCTTTCCACTGAATCCAGACGTGATATTGAATTTCATATGACATGGTCAAAGTACACCGCAAACATTCTCTTCTATAATGATATTTTTCTAAAGATGTTATTGATATTATAACCCCTATCGTTGCTACTGCCACAGTAACTAGCGTGATAAATTTTTTAACCGACATCCACATTGTCGATGTGAAAACACTTCCACATTAAACACAAAACTACGACTGACTGACTTCGCATCGACAAATTTCGATATAAATATATATCGAAATCTCATTCGGCTTGTTCCAATTCGAATACACGGAAAAGAAAAGAGGAAAGATGAGAAGAAAATGGTACACAAATAAGAATAAACATATGAATAGACATAGGGGAGAGACTCATTTAAAAAAATATGAGTTTACGAATTTCTTGTATTAAATTTCGAACAAGAAGGCCGTTTGTTTTAAGTTGAAAGCATAATTTTACTACTAAGAATTATCAGATAAAATTCCAGTTGAGATGTTAATAGAGATCTCAAATGGAATCTTAGATGCCGAAATGATATTTTAACGCGTAGTATTTCGAAATCTTAATTGCGATTATGATGATATGAAGCTACATCAATTTAGTGATTTCGTCTGAGATTTCTGCAGAATGCGAAAGTAGGGCACACTCAACTAAATTATTTACTTATGTAAAAGAACTAATTAAATATTAAAAAATTATTCGTCAACCTCAACTGAAGTAAACAAATCAATTTTATTAAATCAGTCATCTGAAATGATGTATATATACATAGATTATAGAATATTCAAAAAATGGTCGTAAGCCTAAACGTAATTATAAACTAGTCAATATTCTGATATCAGTTACTAATCAGTAGATGGACACATTGTCTATTATTTATCTTTTCCAGATTTTATTTTCTTTCTTTTCTTTCTTTTTAGTATAAAAATAAAGTTTCATCTTTCTGACTATACAAAGTCATGATCTGAAAAATAACGAAATAATTTGTAATATTCAAGTAATCTGATTTAAATTCATTTTAAAAATAAAAGTGAAAAAGTATCAATTAATTCATTGATATTGGGATGAGCAAAAAAAAAGCTCCATATGTGATTTTTGTTGATGAAAATCTAACATTTTTCAACATCAAAAAATCAAAATGTAAACAGATGGCTTGAAAAATATTATTATGGTAATTATTTTATTGGTATTGGTATAGGTATGCTTCGGAGTTCAAGTGTTAACATTATTAGATATTTGGAGTTCGAGTACTATACCAGACAATAAATTAATAAAAACGTTACAGCAGGCGAGTCCGAGGCGGCGGTTAATTAACATCGCACGGACGACGAAAAAATAAGTTTACAAAGTAATCAATAAATACGTTTACGAAGTAAATAAATTAATAATTATTTATCCGTTGTTATAATTTTTATGAAATATTTTCAAAGTATACATAGACATAGAATATTTCAGCGGTACGTTTCAGTACAATATCTAAAATATTATTCGAAATGTTGCCAAAATTTTACGTGAAATATTTATAATAACATTTGTGCAAGGTCTCTGGTATATTTCTATGAAATATTTTTAAATATACGCACACACATACACACACACACACACACACACACACATATGAATACATTGAACATTTTAGTCATATATTTTTGCATTATTTTGTAAATATTACTTGATTATTGAAACATTGCAAATATTTTAAAAGCTAAGGATACGAATGACCCAGGCAACAAGCTTGCACACAAGATCTGTGTCCAACTTTAGATCACGTCAATGAAAGTTACTCTTTTTATTGAATAAACAAATGAATAAACGAATGGATAAAGAAAATATAAAAAATATCATAGCAAATATCACTCCTCTGTTAACCCTCTGCTTAATTTTAACACAAAGCTTTTTCAACCATTGTATTAGACAAATATTCGGTTACAATTCGAAAATTATTATGAATCGAGATCCCAAAGAATACTTCGGTAATGTAAACTATTGGTTTAAATTGGTTGAGATGGTGAGTTCAATCTGATTATACTTAACGAAAAATTATTTAACCTATTTTCTTATTTATCCCTGCAGAAATGGTGTCAAAAAAGGTGGCCTGTCTCACAGGAGTATTTTTTACGGACATTTCCTACCTATGGTGCGTCTTAGGATGGTATGGTCTCTGCTGCATTGAGAATTGCATATCAAATTGAGCAACCGAATTTCGGACTGGTCAGGCGTTTGAAAACTTGGAAATTTTGTGAAATATATCATAACATACATCACCTCTGTATTTCAGGAAATCATGCTTATTATTTTCTATCTTTTACCTATGACTAATGCACTATGGGATTTCTCCGTTAAGAACCTACCACCGGCTATTATTTGTACGAGGTTTTATTCTTTATTTTTAAAAAATAAGTTCCATGATGAGTAAGGTTAATTTGAATGCTTTGTCTTTTATACAGCAATAATAATGTTTATCGATTTGATTTTTCTTGTGACAATCAAAAATCAAGAATGAAGAAAAATTTTAACGAGCTTGTAATTTTGTTTTATTTAAAAGAAATAGTTTGAATATTATCTTGACGTGGCATCTTAACATATTGATCGACGCATTAAATATTTTTTCCAAGTTGACTTATTCGAACATGATTTTTTTGAAGATTTGAAGATTCTGATTAATTGCATGGATAATTTCATATTTAGCAAGATTTCGAATATAACAATTATTGTAAAGCCATTTAACAATGCGTGAATAAAAATTTTTCCGTTTATTAATTCTGATCCTGAGAAAAAACCTTTTCCAAATGTTAAGTAAAGAAATATATTTTCATGGAATCAAAAAACATAAAAGTATTAATAGTGTAGTAAAATATTTCAATTTGTATGCCTTCACTTTTTTATTATATTTTCATGGAAACTTCAGTATTTAAAAAATTCCTTGATAAAATTCTTAGTTAACGAGTAAAATATGAGTGACCAATGATTAAAACTTCATGAAAATTACATATCATTATACTAAATAGTTTTCGAAGAAGAAAAAATTATTTTTTTTAAATTAGTCTAATTAGCTTGTTTAATATCTAAAATGATTTGGTTGGACAGTTCCACTTACAATTTGAAACATACTTTATTCACTAAAAGTTACAGAATTAATTTGTAAATAACGTGATGATATAACTATTTAAAAAAATATACATATTTAAAAATAAATTCAAATTAATAAGATGGCTCTTTACTTTGTAAAATTACTTGCCAAAAAAAACATTATAAAGTAACTCAATTCATAATACTTAAAAAGCCATTATTTTATTTGTAATTATGAGCATAAAAATAATTTCATGGGAAAATAATACAAAAAATTGATCAAACCATTCTTTTTTAAAGTACTCCAACTTCTTTCTCTTAACATTTCAAATATATTCATAAATTTAATAATAAATTTCTATTGACTAGGGGTCATTTTAATTGTAAAACATTAATTTCAAGAGATTACAAAATATTAATTATCATTATCTAAGTTAAAAAGTTGCAAAGCTGTTACAAATTCAATTGACTATTAAAGGTAATTGAATATCTAAAATTCCAATCTTTTTTAACCTAATCAAAAAGTATATAGAGTATATTGTGTCTAATTACATAAAATCTTAGCCGAAAAGATCAACGAATACTTGTTACTTATGACAACACATCTAACAACAAAAGTATTGAATTCGTATTGATACTAACAATAATTAATGTCTCGTAATCTCACTCTGACAGGTTGTCATCATCGTTACCGTCATTACCCACACAACATGACGTGTTACTGTTGAATTACTGTAAGTTTCATGAAATCTTTGAAAGCACCTTGAAACATACCTGAAATGTTTCGTTGCAATATTGTACAGAGAGACACTCGTTCGAATGTATTAACGCAATTGTCATTGTCGAATCCTCTACTATTGAGATGAAGTTTGTTGTAGATGTACGAGGCTTCAAAACTTACTTAAAAGTATTCGTATTCAAGAACACAGCTGTTTGTTTTTTGAAAAAAGATCCGTCAGTATTTAGAAACTTTTAGGACATGATGATTTACCACATGGTGACCTTGAAAAAAAAGTGAGAAAAACACCTTTTGCAGAAACTATTTTTGATAAAGATCTTGAAAAAATAAATTTCAAATTGGTTCAAAAACGTTGTCCAAATATCCAATCAAAAATTTGCTGATCACAATACACAGTAAGTTTTTCTTCTCCCGTCATCGTAAAAATTATATTTATATATTTAATCATTTTTGTTTTTTTACAGAACGACTGTCGTTGGCATTGAAAACTTGAACGTTGTCCGTCACTCAAAAAACTTCCAGACGATAATTTTTTTAAATGCAGCAACCACAAGTATCCATCAAATCCAACATATGTTTTCAAAAACGCGCTGGCTATTAGTCGATGGATGCTCGCTCGCAAAAGAAGTGATGATACGTGATTTCTTCATATCAAAGTTTGAAAATATAAAAATAAAATTAACGAGTAGATTACTCTTTGTTTTTCTTATCTAGTATATATGTGGGATATGTGGGATTGGTATTGTCGAATGGTGTATGATGACAGAATTTTTTCGCATATAGGCGGAAGTTGAGTTTATTGAAATTCCAATCCATGCTCCTATGCTTTTCCGTCATCTTACAACTTTTTCAAAATCTCATTCGAACTCGTCAACCTCATACTACATCATAAGGAACACCTGGAGGATAAAACAGACTTCCAGTATATGGAAACATTCTGTGTTGTATACATGGAGCGAAGTACTTATAAACCACAATATTGTTATTAGTCCCAATTTGCTGCAAACATTCTTTCAACATCTGAAGGGCTACATAATTTTTTACGTCATCATGGGCAATTAAGTTATATTAACGGGCGAATATATCAAAATAATACTATAAATAATAAATTTGTATTGTCGGTGTGGAAATTCGTTAGCATGTGAAAAATCATTGGGTGTTTAGAGCGTTCTTAGTTTCATGACAAATGTTAGTGTGTCTGCATTTTGTCAGCATGTGGTTGGCGGATAAGATTCA